TATTCGGCGAGTCGCATGAAGGGTGCGCTGCATCCTACTAAGGGTGTTCAGCATCTTGTGCTTGCTTCTTGCGTACGGCTGACAGCTGCGTATGGCTTAATTCATTTTCTGGTGCTTTCACTTCCTGAGACAGTTGTAAGCACTGTGTAACTGCCTCGAGGGTGCTTGACCATTTTAACACAACGTGGTGCGATCATCCCCCTTGCGCGGAGTGAGGGTTCTCCACCCCGCACAACATGATCTACTCGACCACCATTATGGTTACCGCCAAAAAAAAAAAGAGGTGAAAAAATAAACGGTAACCTGGTTGCCGAGTTCACGAAGTGAATTGGCTTGTTTTACAACGTCGTTGCCAAGCGACGAAAACCCAATCCCGATGGCAAACACCGGGGGGGGCGGCTTGTTTTACAACGTCGTTGCCAAGCGACGAAAACCCAACCCCGATGGCAAACACCGGGGGGGGCGGCTTGTTTTACAACGTCGTTGCCAAGCGACGAAAACCCAACCCCGATGGCAAACACCGGGCTGGGGGGCTGGGGTGGGGGCGTAAAAAGGGTAGTATGACAGCGGGGGCACCGTGGCTGCATCCAGGCAGGAGAACGAGTGCCTACAACAGGCCGTTACGGTGCTGCCCTCCTACATGCTCCTGCCTCGTTGCCAAGCCGCCTTCTGGCCGTCGTCGCCGGCACGTCTGCTCCTGCATCTTTCACGTGCCGATGATGCTGCTTGTCTGTATCTCTGCAGCAGTACACCTTGTTTTCCAAATGCTTGCTCTCGCATCCCCGTTGGCAAGCGACACAGCAAAAGGTGATGAATATAGGTGTCGAGCTGAGGTTCAGCATGACCCGACAACGAGTCACCCCTCCCCTTCCTGTTGCGTAACCCCCCGGTCGTAGGAAGTGCGGGCTACCCCGCTCGCGATGGTGGCGAGTCGCTACTACCTCGACTACCGCACCATGAAGCTCTTCCAGTCCTGCTTCGGAGGGGAAGGGGGCGAATCGGCCACCTTGGAACACCTTTGCCGAATGTTGTCGGACGCCCAGGTGGGTTGGGTTTAACCCGTGGTTGCGGATGTCCCACTATCGCGACCGGTACACGCTTGCTGGCCGCGGTGAAGGGGCGATGTACGGGTTCCGATGAGACAGTACCAAGTCAGAAAGATTGGTGCAATCGTTGTTGTGGTGTCGTGGTGAATGCTAGGCAAAAAGGGCATAAGAATGAACAACCAACAAGCACCACCATCGCCACGACCGCCCGCGACACCAACAGAACGAAAGTGGCGACACCAGAGCAGCAGCAGCGGCAGCAGCAGCAGCAGTATCCCGAAATATGCTGCCGTCGAGTGAACACCCTTGCACTGATTGTCTCAACGCCGACTTTCTGTAGAGCCATACCAGTCGAACCTCGGTTAAAGACACACCTGATTTTTTGCGAAGAAACTTGTGTCCTTGAGACGGGAAAGTGTCCTTCCTTGAGACGGGAAAGTGTCCTTCAGGTTGATGCCCTTCCTCGTGTTGTACATTCTGCGAGCCACCATGCCTGTGAAGAAAAGTTTGTCCTGTTGTCCTTACCCGAGGGAGTTTCGTTCATTTTAGTGTCCTTCAGAGAGGCACGACTGTATTTTGTGACTCAAGAACCCCCGCCCCCCCCTTGCAGGAGTTTGCGGAGCTTCCGGTGAGGCACAACGAAGATGTCCTGAACGGAGAACTCTCCAAGAAACTTCCTTGGGCCGTGGGCACCGAGGAGCTCGACAGCCCACACGTCAAGACTCATCTCCTGTTGCAGGTATACAGCGATATGGATATTTTGATACCTCCGACGCGGGGGGAGAGGCGCTCACGGAGTTTATGTACAGCTGTACTACATCGAGAAGATGGTGATGATTCGTTTATTGTTGGCGCAGACAATGCCAGGTTCGCAGCGGCAAAGGCGGTGGAAAGCTGCCACGTACGCAATGGGATCCGTCCAAAGAGCATGAGATGCATCAAGTCACGGACGATAAAAAGAAAGTAGGTGTTATTCGCGGCACGGGAGGCACCACATGCGTCTGGAAACGGACCCGAAAATGGAAGCAAGTGCTGTCCACGCTGCAGATCGATGAAACATCGCCAAGAAAAGTGACACATCGTTTCCTGCCTTTATGGCGCCTTGAGAGGAAGAGGAACTAGCCGGCTTGGGACGCTACGTATGTATCGGATGTCGCTTTTGTCGCCCTCCCAAGTGCATGCACGCGCGAACAACTCTACTCCGGTAGTCTTTCCCCGTATTGCCAAAGTCCGGTGGTTCGGCTGTCTTGTCGACATACCCTTCTCTTCCATCCTCCATCTACCACAACCAACAAGAGTGATGTGGAGTCGTGTGTGGAGTGTCAGGGCATCCACTACAACAACAACAACAACAACAACAACAACAACAACAACAACCGCGTTGCAGGCACACTTCGACCGGTGCGCGCTGCCGATCTCGGACTACGTGACGGATACAAGGAGCGTGCTCGACCAGGCCGTCCGCGTCATCAACGCCATGCTCGACATAGCCGCCGGCTTCGGCCTCCTGGACACCACGCTTGGACTCCTCTGCCTGCACCAAATGGTGGTTCAGGTGCGCCATTTTTTTCCCGGAATTGTTTGGAACAGACGGCGCGTAAACGTGGCCGTGCATTGGGTTTGGCTCACGGAGGCGCCTCTGACTGATGTTCAAGCCAAGAAGGTGTTTATCTCAGACAAGACCGTTCTGCCCCCCGTTCCTCTATCCACCACCCCCAACCCCTCTTTCAAAGGCGGCATGGGAAGACGCGGACACCTTGCTCCAGCTCCCTGGAGTGGGCCCCACGCAGGCCGCGCGCCTCCGTTCCAAGGGCGTGTCCACACTGCGCGAGCTTGCTCTTCGCGGAGAGGCTGCTGCGAAAAGCCTACTGGAAAGTTCCGGCCTTGCCCCAGCGGACGGTAGCGGTGGGAGGGGGCTCGGTGGACGGGGCTTCGCGGGTGGTGGTGGGGGAGGGGGCACGGCGGTGGCCGCGGCAATGCGTGCGCTGTCTGCGATCCCCGTGGTGAAGGATGTCACGTTCGGCGTTCGAGCGGCGGGCGGGGACGGGACCGATGGGGTGAGCAGCGGCATCTGTTTTGCTGTCTTTCGTAACTATCGTTGTTTGGATTATGCTGTTGATGTTGAGTTATCCCTTGTTAGTTTTGTTGTTCCCGGAACAGTGGCGCCAACGCTTTGCGTCCGACCTACTGCAAATTTCGTCGCGCTACAGGAACTGTTTCTCGTCGGCGGAATCATTGAGAACTGCTTGGCACGCACGCATCCGCCCACTTCTTCCTTCCATTTGCTAACAGTCTTCTGGTGAAAACATCACAAAAACAAAAGAATTGGCGCAATACCTGTGCCGCGTCGGGTATTTTTATGAACAGTCAAACCATACGTTGAAAAAACGTGTTTTGGGTTCAGTGTTGAACCGCGTGAGGTCCTTGTGGTGAATGCCCTTTTCAGCGCTCAGCAAAGCTGCCGCATTCGTAACCGCTTCCCCGACGCACTCAATACGTGATAGACGAAGTACCATTCTTGCACCGTGACTACTACTTCTTGACACTCCGAATCGGATGTACCACCCGATGCCAAGCCTGCTTCGCCATAGTACCAGAGGAGAGATGACCGATCGAGCCCACGCTCTGGAGACCTGCTGCCTTCAGCGTCCTCCGATAATAATTGGATGCGCATGTCTCTCTGAATCGGAATTATTAGTAGATGCGACGGTCGGGTGGGAGGGTTATCTCTCTCACTCTTTGGAATCCCCAGACGATATTTGACGCCCGGGTTCTTCGTACTCAGGCACACACACACCTTGTCGGATGAGCCCGATGACATGAAAGCGTGACGCTACCGCAGTCGATGCTAATAAAACACACACACACTTGTCGGCAGAACCTTGCCCTTTGACACTGTCGGTGTATTTTTCTCGCGCTACAAGACTAACATATTTGCATTGGTCGGCCAGTTATCGTGCTATTGATCAGAACATACGCACATACACGTGCCGGTTGATTAGAAAGTGTTCATGTTTTTCTTCCCGCTACAAGACAGACGTATTTTTATTGGTCAGCCGGTTTGTGCGGTCGATGCTAATAAAACACACACACGCACACGCACGTACAGGAGCTGCGGCAGGGAGGCGATTGCGAAGCGGACGTCCGAGTGTCCGTCGCCGTTACCGGGGGAGGGGGGCAGCACCAGGGAAGCCGGAGAGGAGGTGGAGGCGGGGGCGGCAGAGGGGGCGGCTCTCTCTGGTCCCCGCGTTTCCCGAGGGCGAAGGAGGTGGGGTGGTGGATCGTGCTGGGTACGGAGGATGGAGAACTTCTTGCACTCAAGAGGGTGAGCGAGACATGGAGCAGGCTATGTAGCAGATTTGTGATTGCGTGTCTCGTGTCCGTGCGGGGAAGAAGGGCGGGGGAATGGGTGTATCGGGCAGGGTGGTGTGTTTTGGCTCAGAGACACGTGGTGGATGGGGCTCCGTGAATTGCCCTGGGTCGGGGGGATGAGCACCGGCAGGGCGCGAGGAGAGCTTCTTGCTTCGCCTCAAGAACGAAAAGCTTATCGGTTCGACTTGTTTGTTGGCGCCAGGGAGTACGGAAGAGCAAGGTTTTGGAATTTTTTCATCACGAGGGTGTGCTAAACAACTGGGTTCCGGCGGTGTGTCGGCAACGAATCTTGGCCGTTGTTGTTTGCAACCAGGCTGATCCGACTTCGGCAACAAGATCTACTTCCGAAAAACTCGATCGCATGCGTTGCCTCAGCGGCTGGGTCAATCCACCCGACATCCTGGCGACGGAATTGCCGCGTGATCATCTGCACTACTGCGTGATAGACACGTCATACACCTAGACCCCAGTGCTCTCGTACGACACCTGTCCACAGATTTGTTCCAGCAACGAACCAAATCTAAGAATAACAACATCACCACCGACAACCTCAGGTCTCGTACTGTCGTATGGTTGATTTCAACAACGAAACAACTCCAAGGCAATAACAACACCACCAATATCCACAGGTCGGTACGCTCGGACCCCGCGGGTACAGCACTACCCTGCGCTTTCCCAGCCCGGAGGACGCAACCGGCACAGTGCCGTTGGTGCTGCACGTCGTCGCAGACGGAGTGATGGGAATGGACCGGCACGCACGAGCGACAGCTACCGTGTCTAGAGAAGAGTAGAATACAACAACCCCGCGAGATAGAACGGGAGGCTGACGCCGTATCTCGAGAAGAGTAGGGAGACAGGTTTGAGTAGGCCACGATAGCGCAGGGGTGATAGAAGGAAAGGCAGCGCAAAGTGATGCGGAGGAGGTCGAGAGGTCGAGGAGCGGTGTCGTTTGTAGATCGAACGTTTCTAGCAAAGTCCTCGTCTAGGAAGGTCGATGACTTGCTCTGAAGCGCTAGGGGTGCAAGATGGCCCCAAGGACTCACTAACGCGGCGTTCACCGTGCCCAGGCCTGAATTCTGGTCTTGTGAAGTGTGCTCGTGATGCGAACAAGGTTGGCGAGAAGAACATCGCACGGTGCGCTTTGCTTGGAGTTCATCGGGCGATGGTTCGATCCACGCTGAAGGAATGGGTTCCAATGACGCTACCCACTGGTCGTCCCCGTGGAAGGTGATATCGCGTGACTCAGACTGAATTCTCTCATGTTCTCTTACGCGTCCCGCGTGCCCGGTGCAGGGCATAAGACCGGCCAAATATCTTGACAGTGTGCCGCCCCATTCTTCATTCCTGCAGAACAACAAGAAGCTCAAAGAGTCTGGCTATCGTCTCATAATTGTGCTTTATTCCTTTAGTGTTCGTGCCTTCCTCTCAATAACGTCTATGTTCTTAGTTACCGTAATTCAAGTAACGTCTTCATATTGCATGCGGCGGCGAATCTATCACGAAAATAAGCTTCGTTCATCTTTGAAGCAGCCCAAAACGCATTTTCAATGAAATCTACTGCACACGGGCCGGGACAAACATTTCGCGTGATACAGCAACACATCTCACATTATTCTGCAACTCGTATTCGCCTTGATGCCCCCCATATCACGAAACCGGGCTCTGTATCGGGTGTTGGAACCCTAATTTGCTCGGTGGCACACTTTGCACCAGTCTCACAAGCACGATCCGCCGCGGCTGCAGTCACATCCCATCCATCAGGCGCAACGCCCGGTTGCGAGTGCTTGGTTGGCGAGGGGCACCGCCCACGACCCATTCACGCACCCGCTAAGGCCAAAGGCAATTAGAATTTCTTCCGTGACACGTCCATCGCCGCTGCTACACGTAAATGGACAGGCCAAAATGTCGAAGGGGACAACATCACTTCCAGGTTTAGCAACTTTTAGGCTCCCCAGTGTGTATCTGACATCGCTCATTGTGTCTCAACGAGAAAAGTTCCCTCGGTTACTTGATTCTTCGCTAATTGTCACCTTTTCGCCATGCGATCCTCTCTTGTACACGGCCTACCCGGATCGTAAAAAACACAAGAATAAATGGGTCGAGAAAAAATAAACACAGATCTACGGAGCAAGCGTCTCGCTCGTCGAATGGCGCTAGAATCCCCGCCCCTCCCTCGCCGGCAGGCCCTGTTGAGCCAACGCTACCGTTTTTTTTTTTTTCCATCATTGGATTCTGTCGTCTGCCCTTCTGGCTCCTATCCTCCACTTCTACCAGCTAGACGACCCAACCGGGGTCACATAGGAGGGGGGGGGGTTGGACCCCCCTCCGAAATGTCAGCGCCTGATTCCACGCGAACAACCAAAGACAACCCGGCCAGCACGTCCGTCAGAGCATCCAGCCCGGCCAAGATTGAGCCCTCACGAGCTTCAACACCCAAGACCGTGAACAGAACGGTGGGGGATCAATAGTGCCGCGTGCCTGATGTAGTGCCGGCTGGCACATTGCAGCACTGCCGCGCGCCCCCCTCCCCCCACTGCCATCGAATCGAGCAGCCCCGTTTGCGGTGCAATGGACTGGCCCATCAACGAAGCACCGGTTTTTACACGGTATCTTGCCGAAGCCACAGGGCGAGCCCGCCGCCGGCCCCGCGAGCGATAACGTAACGGTCCGAGATGTCCATGAAGGTGAAACCCGGCGGCACCTTGCTCTCCCCCTGGTTGTACGGAAAATTAAGCCCGAGGACCCCGACCTGAGGAAAAACACAAAAAACGAGACCAAGGTTGGGGGCGGGGTGGAAGGTAGGCGATATCTTCGACGGAAAGGAGAGGTAGGAAACTGCGTGCGTTAGGGCGTGGCGTGGTGAACGGTCGGCGAACCCTACCTCCACCCGCAACTTGGCGATTTCGTGGGACACTTGCGAGGCTGCTTCGAGGGAAATGCCCGCCGCCTACATAAACAGCAGTGAGCACGAGCACATCATACGTGTACAGCGGCCAGCCACGTGAACACCTTCCTCTTGGGAAAGCATGGATGCGAAAACGATCGCAACGCGCTTTCCCCCACGTTATCAAGAAACATGGCACGTCCTTCGCAACAGTATGAGAGAAACAAAATATGAAGCATTTCTACGGTACCGTCTTTCGAGCAAACCCATACCGACCCGCCCACCTCGTTGAAGGTGAACTCGAGGCGGGCCGTCTCCTCGGCCCAGGTGAAAGTGCCGGAGAACTTGAGAACCGGGAAGGAGCCGAGGTAGACGCCGTTCGTGATCGTGTAGTCGGGGTTGAAGACCTAATCGAACGTCCGAACACAGGAATGTGTCGAGACGAAGCGCGTCAACCACGAAGATGACGTCGGCACGGTCGGCAACACTTGCGCTCTTGTTAACAGTGAGACAATAGAGACGAATCTCCGAAGAAACTAACCGATATCCCACCGCCAGTCAAAGTTTATGGCGATGGAGTGCCGAACGAAACCGCATGTTCTAGGTAAAAAGGTAGCGCCTTTTCGATGGCCTTTTCTCGATGCGATGAAGTCAGTGCTCAACAACAACAGTTATGCCAGGCACGCATGCCTGGGTCGACAGGTCCGGCGGTGGAAACGTAGAGAGTGCCATGAAGGCTGAGGACTGATGGTCCCATTCCTGGGCGCAGCCCTCGACTGTGACGTCGACGTCATCAACACCCGTCACGACGTCGATCAAAGTAAAGAGAGAGAAAAAAAACACAAAGTTGGAAGCATCGCGGGTGCCGAAAGCGACACCAGCTTCGGCGGCCGCCGCTGGAACTGTTGTTGGACATGACGTCTTGGCGAGGCCGTAGAGCGTTCGCAGTGCTCGCAGATGCGGCGAAATGCGGCCCAACTGTTCTGTACCCATTTGTCGATACAGCAGTAGGATTACGGGTCACTCGGTTCTGGATGGAATATAACAGCAGCAATGGGGTCGTCCCCCCGCCAGCAATACCAGCAGCACCACCGGTGGATCGTGGTCCTCCCCATCAACGTCCTCGTCAGGAACCCTTTTCCAGGGCCGTCCACCCTTCACGGCTACCACCCGTCATGGCTCACGGAGCGAGTTTTCGTAGACCTTGCGGGGCCGTACACGGCGCCTACGGGTGGCATCGGGCTAGTTGCCTCCTCTAGATATTGGACGACCACAGCAGCAACTTGGGTCGGCTTGTGTTATTACAGGACAAGAGCGGCACGTACGGTGGTTTGTGCGCTCCGGACGTCGTGCGCTTAAAGCAAAGCCGCCGCTCTTGGCTACGCACGGCGGGCTGGGGCATGTTTTCAACGGTGACAGGACCGGGCGGACCAACGAGGACTTCCGCGCCGTGTTAAACTCAAGTCGGTGAGCATCCCACGGAAGCCCTCGTTGGGTCCACTTGGTCCCGTCATCGTTAAAATAATGCCCAAAACCACCGTGCGTAGACAAGAGCGACTTCATTGAAGTGTAGCACCTCAGGGCCGCCCGGACCACCGTAGGGTCGCTCTTGTCCCGTAGGTATTCGTGGAGGTTTCCCTTGGTGTTTCGGAGGACGTTTCGAGAGAAACTTCATCTACTGCTGTAGCCACACTTTGAAACCATAATGGAGGAAGGGTTTGACATTGTTTCGATTATCTTGAGGGTTCAGGGCTTCCGAAGTTCATTTGGAATTGGTCGGCAGGTTGAAATTGGGTTTTAATTTCAGGAATTCTATAGAAAAGATTGTGCCACGTCTCTGTAGGGTGCGTTGATTTGTGCTGAGTATTGTCCGAGAGTAACTCCGATGTTGTGATGGCCTGGGAAAATATAGGGAGAAGATGGGGTCGCAGTCTTGAAAGATATGTTCTCAATATTTCTCAAGCTGGTTTTCTGTTTGTTGGTGGATATTAGAGGGAGTTCATGCTGACGCGATGAGAATCGGATACCATACGATTCAGAGATCGTAGGGAAACGCTTTCTTGGGATATCAACAGATTTCGTGGAACGATGTCTCCTTGGGAGATTTGGTTGGATTGGTATTGTTTGTTCGGAATGGTTATTGAGAATATTGCCGTATTACTTGGTGAAAAGTTATCGAATACCTTACAGGGGGCTAATTGGGGGTGTACTCGGCGTCGACGCTGATCTGCAGGGACCATGGGGGTTACGTGGATGCGTGTGTGTGGTAAGGAAATTGAGCGGCGGGATGCCCGACAGTGCTCCTCGCCCGCTCGCTCTCTCTCTACGCTGCCTTGTACATATCAAGATCCCATGGCCGACCGTTTTTCTCTGCGCTTCTGACAACAAGCTGTCCGCCTCCCAAGCACGCGGGCATGGATGATCCACTGGGTAGAGGAGCGAAGTAGCATAAATTCAACGTTGCAAAAATTTCCTCGGAACCGCAGCCGCACAACTTCAAAGTTGGCTAGACAGGACGAAAAACCCATTCCACCCACTCAAGATTTTATCGCACTGCTCTGTTCCTCCTTCACGGCATTCAACATTTAATCTTGACATGTTCGCATGCACTTCACTGAGACAAATGCGAGGCTTGGAGAGAGAAGAGATCCATGTCCAGCGAAACGTACCGTTCCATTCTTGCCATCAACACACTGCTGCCGCTGCATTGACCACTTCGAAGACCCCTTGAGGAGGGAAGACCGGCCAGGACTCCGAAATCAGGCCATGTAGATTGCCATCCGAAACAAAAAATGCCAAAAAAGTGGTCGTAATATCTCGAACTGGTACATTAATATATTTTTGTGATTGTACGTTTATTTTTTCTAGAACATCGTATACTGTACCTGGACTGCCTTGATCGGCACGTACGAAATCTTTCCGCCGAGTTTTTTCTGCGTCTTTACGTCCCCGGTGGTGAAGATGAGGCGCCAGTTCCCGTTGTCCGTGAGCAGGTCGAACTTGGGCTGCGAGCTGTCCCTTCCCTCGAGCGGCTTCTTGCTCCCCCCCGACTTTTCGATCAGCCTGTCCCGGCATTCATGACATTCTTTGTTGCAGGTGTTTTTGTCGCAACACAAAACGAAGCATCACCAACAACAAATTACAAACTTACGGCGGAGAGGTGCTTGATAATCCCGTCCGCAAGACGAAAAAAGCGAAGAACTGTTATTGGACAGTGTTCGAAGGTCTTCCATTTCGGATGGGGGGGTTATGTAGCGTTAACTACATCTACTATTGGATAGCCGCTCCATGAAGAAGTTGTTTCGCCTGGCCAGTTTGTTTCAAAGTTAAAACAAACACGTGTTTATTGACGCATTTTGATCCGTCTCGGAGGATCAATGTTCCAGGGCAATCCCATGTTGACATTGGCCGTGGAAAATCGCATGTAGACTTCGGCCGTGGTTCTTCTGCCCCCACCGCACCGCAACCCGATTCTTCCTTGCTCCCCCCTAGATCAAGTATATGGCTGGGTCTGGGTACTCTAGTCGCCACGTCTCTTGTTTGCGAAAACAGCGCATCATAGTGGGAAAAGACTTCGTATCCCAATCTCTCACATATCAAGAGCAGCAGTAGAACGATAACAAACGCCAGTATCCGAGATTTCGGCTACTTGCCATTTCAAAATCTGCCGATTAGATGGGCACAACCGCCTCGGGATCCCCCACCCCCCCGCTCTCGACCGTGACCTGAGCGCCTGGTGCATGGAGATCTATGGTTCGAAGACTTAACGGTCATGCATGACAGTGCCCACACCCCTCTCCGAGGTAATGAACGATCTCAGGATTCTCCTTTGAAACTAAGCGGCAGCCCCCTTAAGCCAGCCGGGAATACAACTGCGACACACGCGCTCACCGGATGGCCTCGATGACGGTGTCCGGATCGACGTCTCTCGTCTCTGCCGCTCGAACGATCACCGTCTGCGCGTCTTCGATCGTCTCGAGCGCCGCCGCAGCCGGTGCGCCCTGCATGCGCGGCCGCAGGCCGCCGCTACCGCTGCGGCCCCTTCCCGCTCTTGCCGCCGGCAACCGCGGCCTACCAGGAGGCAAACACCAGAGCGTGGTTGCTTTGTGATGCTACCATCGCCGCTGTGTGTGAGCCCGAGTGCCGGTCCTGTTTAGAGCTCGCCTTTTTCGAAAAAAAAACTTTTGTACCACGACAAGTTCGCGTACGGGGTGTTCACGTATTGGAGGCCTTACGTCGCAAAATATAGCTCCGTGATTTTTCCAAACCGGCGCAGGAAACGGAGGGAAAACCCCGGGAGGCGAGTAAATTGAGGCTCGACTTCGTAATGTTTGGGTGAGCGACGCAGTCACTACAGCTACAACTCAGCAGCAGTGAGGCTATTGGTTGCTGTGAGGGGTCAGCACATGCCCCTGAGTCCCGTCTTGAGTCGGTGGTCCTTCTGAGCTGCAATGAGCGCACTCTTGCAAAAAGAAACGCATCAAAAGCCGCAGTTGATTGCTTGCGTTCGATCTTACGTGGCAACTTGTGGATCGTGTGCAAGCCGTGTTGAGTCATCGGCCGACGTACACAGCTTGCCTTCGCGAAGCAGAGAACAAGGGCAGAAAAACTCCGGTCGACCTCAGGCCCGATGGAATTGGCTTCGCCGTGATTCGCGCGACCTTGGAACGAAAGCGTTATTCTGTAACCCGCTTGCCATATATACAAAACATGTCGAATTCCCCGCATCCTTCATGGTCAACCCTTCACACTCGTGGGAAAGACCTGTGTTGCAAAAGCTCCTCGACAATTGTGGCAATTTGGGATAAGCCAGATAAGCGCTATCTCTATCCCCAATTCCCGCAGGGCACACCTCTTCCAGACAACAATACAAGACAGCAGAATACTGCTGTATTGTAGGCCGGTCAGCAACACTGGGTGCGGAATGTTGAAGGGGACCCATGTTGTTCAAAAATTCAAGACTCGGTCTGCCGAGTCGTTAATTGGACGTGAGGATCATCACCCGATGATGCGTACTCTGGCCTGTTGACCACCCACACAATTATCATCTACTGCGGTGCATACCCATATTATGTAGGACGGTCACACAGCTTGTATGCATAGAAGGCTCACCAGCTGCTCTCAAACGCGGCGGAATGGCTCCGCCTGGACACGTCGGCAGAGATCATCAGACGCGCGCGTGCCTGGGACAGCGTCGGGGTGACGAACGCTTCGGAATACGACGCCATCAGCAGTAGCAACCCAACTAGGGGCGCTATCGTTCCGTGGGCACAGTAGGAGGCCATGGTTCGTCTGCTGCTTGAGGATGTTCTGTTGTGTAGAGCATCCTCAGCAGCCCAGCAGGTTATCATGAAACAGGGGAGACGCGAGATGAGAAGCAGAAATTGGGTAGGGTGGTTGAGAACGGGCGAAAGCCGCAAACAAACCTGAAGCCCCCGAAGACACACGAATGGTGATGATCATACCCTTTGACGTCCATGACATGGTGAGGCACCTCAGACTATCGGTGACCGCCCAATCCCCAGAGCCGACCGCGTTGCCGAACACACAGCAGTACAACAGGGCACCTATGTCGGCCAATTCCTTCTCGTCTTCCTTGGGAAAAGCACTCTCATGTACATGAAACAACGTTCGTTCACCGTATTATTTTGACCGAACATCCGTTGTACGCACCCCCGCCGCCGTGAACCCCAAAGTCCCAAATCGCTCCACAACAGGCAGGGAAGGAGCTCGGGTATTCGGTGCTCAACTGCTGCCAGACGGCAATTGTCTCCGTCTTTGTGTTCTTCGCGGGGTTCGTGATTAACTACAACACAAGTATTAAGAGTGAACCGGCCAATTAAGGAACGCTAAAGTCATTCTCGCGCCAACAGCTCGTTCTCGGGCGTGAGAACGAATTTCAAGTGTTATTAAGTATCGGACGATAGGGTACATTGCAGGCTACCTAAAAAAAAAATCGCAAGGGCAGATGAGATAGAGCTGATGCAGTGGACCTCGGTGTTTAACGAAACATGGTGGAAAACCCCCCCCCCCCCCAAATTAAGGAACACTTGAGCTTTGTGGCTGATTTCGTACGTTCTGAATCGTTTCATGATCTGATTTTTTGTGTACATGCGTCTGTTGCAACATGTATCCATTTGAGGGGAAAAATTGGAATTGATCCACGCCCGGGGACAAAATCCTCACATCCCCGGGCTTCCCGGCTGAAGTCGGGGGCGGATCTTGCCCCGTTATTGACCGTACGGCGGTGCTGCGCACATGAAAAGAGCCAGAACTAAGAGATTAATGCATAGTTACTTCATTCTGGTCATGTATCGACTCCCTGAAAAAAAAATTGGACGAAAAACGTTGCGTAGGTGATGTAATGCCCGTTCAAACAGGCATACCTTGGACCTGGCCGCTACGGTAAGAGTTCTCCGCGCGGACTCCAAGGCCATTTCCCTTGTTTCACATTCACCTTACACTCCCACAACGTGCCCTATTGTGGGTAGGTCTTTTCTGTGGCAAGGAACGTTGTTGCAAAAAAAAAATCCATGCATACTCGGACAAAATTGCCATATCCCCGGTTTCGCGGCAAAATCAAGATATCGCCCCCTTCCCCCCACCCCCCCCCGGTGTTTACCATCGGGGTTGGGTTTTCGTCGCTTGGCAAGGACTTTTGTTGGGTTTTCGTCGCTTGGCAACGACGTTGTAAGACAAGCCGCCCCTCCCGGTGTTTGCCATCGGGGTTGGGTTTTCGTCGCTTGGCAACGAC